CCCTACACTCTGCTGAAATGCAAAGCAAGAGCCTACTCTTGAAAACATTTGCTATTTTTCTTTGTATTTCAGTTTGATAAGAAAGTTATTTTCATTCCTCCATAAATGTCTGCATTTATTAAAACTCACAAAAATGAAGATAGCTCAAAATATAATATATGAAGAATATTTGTATAATGCTCTAGTCAAAAGTTAAGTATTTGTTAGTGATTTATATTCAATCGGAAACTGGTTAGAGCTGCCTTCATACAATAGACCTATAAGCTCTGAGAATATTTAAATCTTACATCTTTACATTTGGGTATTATAAAATGCATACTTAGTTGAACAAGCAGGAAAGAAAAGCTAAGCCAGTGATATAAGGAGCTGATTTATTAAAGCTTTCTTTCAGGAATTAGATGTGACACTAGTTTCTGTTTCTTCAAAATCAGGATTGTTGAAAATGAGGTGTATGCTTCATTCTCTGCCTAGGTAGCAGTTACAAAGGCAGAGTCCAGACAACATTTTAAAACTAAAGCTTGCCAGTCAACAGCTTTACCAGTAAACAAGCACATGCCGGTCTGGAAAACCCTCAGAGTTTGTGCTTATAAATGTTGTTGAAACTTACCTACCCTTTGAAGCCTTCAGACTTTGTTCAAACAAGCATCTTAAGGCCATCTGCCAGTGGACCGGGGTGTCTCAGACATGGTAGCTCAAGTGCAAATTCCAACAGAAATCATTTCTTAAGAGGTTACCTACCATTTCATATAAAATCTCATCCCAAATCTGGAGTTCTTGTAGTTTTGGAATGTTTCCAGTTACTGAGAGAAAAGAATGGCAAATTCCTAAGTCTTACACACATTCGAATAAAAAAAATCATATGAACTTTAAAACAGACATAGAGTGGACACATACACACACACACACACACACACACACACACATACATATATATATATAAAATCTCCCCTCCTTACCCAGTTCTCTTCATACAATCAAAGCTCTCCCCATGTTCAAAGTTTAGTATCCTGGCCTGCTTATCATGATAGGAACATTAAAAATTCAGGGCACTGCAGAGCTGCCTAAGTAACCATACAGTCAAAAATCATATTCAAATTATTTTTCCAAAATCATATTCAAAGCAACATTTTCCTCTTAATTTATATTTATCCAATGACTTCCAGAAATCATTTTAATATTATACAGGAAATCTTTCCACTTCAGTCCAGTATTTTAAAGTAATTTGGATACTTTGGAAAATTACAGATACATGTTATATATAATATCCCAGTCTATTGAAAAACATATGAACTGAACACCTCAGTATATTATACTATCCAAATGCCCACTTCCAAAAGATTTGACTTGGAAAAGAAATGCTGTATTCCTTGGTCAATGAGGTTATATAAGAGGCAATGCCATGCCCATATCAGCAACTGAATATAGCTTCTGATCTACCCCCATCCCTTTGCCACCATTAGATAACCTTCACTTGGTTGACTTCCAAGTGCACTCTGGAGGGTGTTTGTTCTCTTGCTCTCAGCCTTGAGAATTGTCATCCCGTGATATTTTTTGATAGGAGAGCAACAGGAGAACTCTACAAGCGGTCACAAACAGAGGCATGGACCAAGGGATCTCATTGTGTTCAATGTGTATTTTCAGATGCAAGAACGGAATGTTGGAGAGGAGGATAAATGCTGTTTTTTTAATATTGTAGGGTAAACCTGATAATTCTGAACTTTGTGAATTGTCAGCTTGTTTGGGGGAAGGGTGGGTGGGTACGGGGTGTACTTTTTATAAGTAATATTTAATTTATTATTTAGAAGTGGCTTCTTTTTTGGATAATTTATGATACAAAGGGAGATATGGTTGGGATCTAGGTGTGGCTGTTAAAGCTGCAGTGTTCTGTTTCTCACAGGGACCACTTTAGAAATGTACTGTCCACTGCTGAGTGCGAGAGAATGTTCAGGCCAGGCAAAGCCTTCAAAAAGTTCCATCATGACCCCCTTCTCCCTTTCGAGGGCTGTTTAAAGAAGATAAACACCGAACCTAAAGTAACTTGGATAGCATTTTGCAGATCAGTGCTATTCCTCTTCTAAGGGCTTTGCAACTCAAATTGTTAGTGTGGTAGTGATACGTTTATTTGGTAGAATGGGTCTACTACAGCTTTAACTAGCCTTAGTGGAAAAAGAAATTTTTTGTTGTTACAAAACACCTTTTTTAAAAAGGGTATTTTGAGCCTACAAAGAGTTTCTTGGAATTGTCAGACTCTAGCGTTGTTAACCAAATTAGACTAGCGATTGCAATATTTAAGTGTAAATCTTGTTCTATGAGAAAGGAAACTTGCTTACAGTTTAAAACAATGACTGTTTCTACACATGATCTTGTACACTACTACATGAGGAAAAGGGGTTTTGTAATCACTGTAGAGCAGTCTCATATTCATTTTTTATAGAAATGTTATTCCAATGGTGCATTTTTTGTTTAATAAATAAAGTTTTGATACAAAATTCTTCCTTTATTTTATTCAAAATAAATGACTAATACTGTACTCTACCTGAATCAATATCACCCCGAGCTGTTCTATACTTTTCCTTAGGAGTCCTACTGTCTTTTATTAACATCTGTGGTAGAAACTGCCACTACTATACCTTTCTGCAAACTCTCAGTATGCATTCAATCATGGTAGTCAATATCCACCTCTTTTTATTGCAGAGCTGTCCAGGGCTGCCAGAACTTGCTTTTCACACCTGCATGAAAGAACTGGAAATGTCTGGTCCCAGTTTATGAATAGCAGCTAAATAGTTCAATCCCCTTTCTCCTAATGGAGACAGCTCTGAGAATTGATCAGACTTTATCTCTGTCCACGACAAAAAGTCTACTCCACAAAACAGAAGTCTCTGAAGTTACTGTCCCGTAGTACTACGCTCATAGGAATGCATCCTTATTTGGCGTATATTCTTTTCTTTTCCTTCTTCTTCCGTGTCCTAATGACTGCTGTTGGAGGTGTTCATGATAAATGCCTTTCACATGCATCTTAATGTGGGGTTTGTTTCCAAAGCACTCACGCATGTCAAAATCATTCTGTCCTTGCTCTCATTTTGACACATCAACACCATATCAATGAAGTCCACTTCCCATTGTGGCTCATGTATTTCATTTCCATGTAAAAGAAAAACATGGAGACACATTCATCTTTTATAGTATATAGCCACAAACACCACAAGATTAAGTTGGGCATATGATTGTTTTTAAGAGAAAATAGCATGTTCTTTTAAAATTTGACTATCTCTCTTGGTCAAGCAAGGAAATATTCAATTGCTTACATCTTGCATCAAGCATCATATAGTCTTCCCGTTTGCATCAACCTATTATTATTTCACTTAAAAATTAATTAAAAATCTCCAAGGATTGGAAACCCAGGTCTCTGTTGGTGGCAATATCAATGAATATAATCACTGTGTAAATCAATGTGGAAGTTCCTAAAAAGTTAAACACACATCACTGTATGATATTTCAGTACCATTTCTTTGTAAATGGCTAAAGAATCAAAAATGAAGACTAAAACAGATGTTTGGAAACCCGAAACACCCACAATGTTCCCGGGAGTATTAGTCACAGTAGCAAAAAAAGTGAGAGAAGGTCAAATGTCCATAGAATGCTGGAAAAGCAAAATGAGGAACATTGACACACTGGAAGACGACTGATCATTTCTAAAACATGATGAAACGTTCTCACATGCTTCAACATAAATAAAGTTTAAAGATATTGTCTGTGGCTAAAAAAAAATCAGCTGCAGAGGATAAATATTTAGGATTACACTTACATGAAGTACATAGTCAAGTTCAGAAACAAAAATTAAATGGTGGTTACCAGGCACTACTGGTAAGAGCAGTATTTCCTTAATAGATATAGAGGTTTAGTTTCTGAAGATTAAAAATATTCTGGGAGCTGGAGAAATGTTTAACAGTTCAGAGTACTGGCTGTTCTTGCAGAGGATCCAGGTTCAGAGCCCATTACCCACATGGCAACTAGCAACCATCTGTAACTTCAGTTCCAAGGGATCCAATGCCCTCTTCTGGCTCCTATGGATATAGCACACACGGTGCACTCACATGCAGGCAAAACACTCATACACATAAAAACTAAAATAAGGGCTGGAGAGATGGCTCAGTGGTTAAGAACACTGGTTGTTCTTGCAGAAGACCCGGGTTCAAATCCTAACACCCACATGACAGCTAACAACTGTCCGTAACTCCAGTTCCAGGGGATCTGACGGCCTCTTCTGTTCTCCATGGTTATTGCATGACATGGAATAAGGGGGAAGCAGGCAATACATGCATAAAATAAAATAAAAAATAAATAAAATGTTCAAAAAAAACTAAAATAAAAAACATTCTGAAGATGGATTGTAGTGGAGGTAGCAGCACAAAAATATTGATGTGTTTAATGATACTGAGCCCATACATTTTCAAATGGCTAAAGTGGTAAATTCTGTTACATATATCTTACCACAAAGTAATATCTTCAAAGAGAATTTTCCAGAGCCGTCCTCTATAAATACTAATATATATTCTAAGACTCCTAAATATAAATGAGTGAAAATATTAAAGACAATTGATATATGATAAATAAAAGCTACACATAAGTCACAATGCATTCTAGCTCAGATATACAGTACACTTGTATTAGTTATTAGTATACTATATAGCATTATTATTGCATCATTTTCTGTTGCTGTGATAGAACACTATGGCCAAGGGAACTTATAAAAGGAAAAGTTTATTTGAGCTTATGGTTCCAGGGGAATTAGAGTCTATCATGGCAGG